CCCTGCGACACTCCCCTTCCCCCTTTCCCCTTCCCCCTGATATGAATTTGATAATGTCAGATGTTATACATACAATAAACTTGGATGCAACGAACTGCCAATCCCGCGCTCTGCAGCCAGAACACGATCGAGACACTCATGCGGCATAAATCCCAGGACCACATTCATCCCCATATCCACAGAGTCTGCTTCTGTTGATGCAAACTGCTGCTGCTCCTCCGGCTGCTGCTGGGAATGATTGTTGTGCAGCACCTGCTGTGGCTGACTGAAAGGTACAGGAGCAGCCGGCAGCGAAGATGGAGGGGAAGAGAAAAGATAATTGAGATGCGGCTGATGAAGAGTGTGATGATGATGCAGATGATGTCGCTGATCGTCGCTTGCACAGGCACTCAAACTGGACTGGTCGAGAAGCATTCCTGTTGACGATATCACTGCCGCTGACGTCCCAGCTTGCGGCGCCATCCCTGGTACCATCAACATCATCATTGCAGTAGAGTAGCTGAGGCCATCGAAGTCCATTCCTCCGTTGTCCCAGGACTGAAACGGGCGTTGTATATACCCTTCGATTAGGTTCTCAGTCATCTCGACAGCAGCGTCAGATGGTTGCGAAGTGACAAACGAAGGAAAAGAGAGAGGCTGCAGATGAGAAGCCGGAGGAGTGACAGCAGGTGGAAACGAACCACCAACTGACTGCACAGGTTGTGCTGGAGCCTCATGGCTAGTCCCGGACCCGGACAGAGGTAGACATAAACGGTTGGGCGACAGATGAAACTCAATGGAACATCGTTCAAACGGTTGCTTTGTACCATCTGGCCGCTCCAAAGCAACTCGATATCGTGCGGCTCTATATCTCCCAGATGTAATGCGGCTCAGGGCCTCGCCTGTTCGGTCCCAGCAACAATCACAGATCGTTCAGAAAAATGTTCCGGTAAAGAGATTACTTGCAAATCTTCAATTCAACAGGCATATACACCCAGGAAAAAAAAAAAAAAACAAGAAAAAAAAACAAACAAAAGTCCTTTTCTTGTTTGTTTGTGTTCTTTTTTCGTTTTTTTTTTTCCCGTTGAAACAGCCCGCCGACAAGCCGGACGTTTAGATATGGCCAAAATCGCCTCTAGCTGTCTCGGGGGGCTCTGTCTATTGGTGGGGAGTTGCACCTGCTGCTCCAAAACGGGGTCCAACATCCCTTATACAACAGAGACTAATCTCTTTCACGAGCCTTTGCAGGGGGGGGGGGTCTTCAACTGGGAAAGCATAAGTCACAACCCATGAAACTTTTCACTAAACTCTTCTAAGTTTCACCCCGTAATCAAGGGCACTTGGACCTCAAAGATGCAAATCCGAGGTACCTTCCATGATACTTGAAGACATATAAAACAATTGAATATGTGGTCGATATAGTAGTCACTGTAATTGCAATAAATCGGCCAGCCTCACGAGTGCCGTGAACAGATAAGGGCTCACGAAACTTCAAAATTTGAAGAGAGAAAATTGCAGCGATAAGGTGTTTGTCACAACAAACAAGGTGACGCCTGAATGGCACACAGTGACTCGAAGCATAATTCCTTCTTGGACGCAAACATTCATCATATCCATACAACCTGCTTTGCACACAGGGTGTCCCCCATAAGACAAAGAGGCAGCAACTATGATAAGATTTGCAAGGTACAGGCACGCAGGAAAAGACATCAAACCCATACAGGAGTAATCAATGCTGCTCAGGGTTCCTTCGGCCAGACGGAAGGAAGCGTGGGGTTGTACTATGATGTATTCAATTTTGACTTGCCGGGGGAATAGGAACCGGACTGACGCTCCCCAGAATGGACATGGAGCCAGGACCATAAGGACCTGTTCGAAAAAAAAAAAGAAAAAAAAAGAAAAAAGAAGGAAAAGCCATCAAAAGCCTACAACTGTAGTTTTGGCAGCCTTTTGCCAGAGCCACGCCTTACAGGGTCCACGCAGCATTATCAAACCACCAGCAAGTTTCCGAGCAATTTTTGTCCGACGCGGTGGTCATGCATGCGGCCACAAGTTTCAGGGGTCAGCCTGTCGGAGCAAAAAGGCTGGCGCCGCCAACTAAAATAAGACCCACGCCGAATTTTTTTTTTTTTGGCGCGCAGTTCATTTCAAGGCTTCGCAAGGGTGGTTTAAGCACACAACCAAACCAGCATCCAAATACACAGAGCACCCCGCTGACCAGTTGCTTCAGGCTGCTACCGCTCAGATTTTGACAACCTCCTTGCATGCCCTCATCGCTGATGTCCACGCTACCAGGATGCTGGTTCCTTTCTCTTTTTGAAGTTTTCAGAGGTGTGGAGAAGGAAGAGAAGAACAAAACCAAAAAGACTAGCGAAAAAGAAGAAGAAGAAGAAGAAGAAGAAGAAGAAGAAGAAGAAGAAGAGAAAGTGAAAGAAAAAGAGCGAAGAGGAGGAGGAGGAGGAAGAGGAATGGCATAACCGGGGAGGAGGAAGAAGAAGAGCAAGGAGGAGAAGGAGAAGAAAAAGAGAAAGAGGGAAAAGAAGAACGGCACAGACCGGGAGGAGGAGGGGGGAGTGGAAGAGAGGGGGGAGGAACGTGTGCAGGTGAAGGATGATGATAAGGGGAACGGGCACCAGCAATAGGAGGTAGCTGCGGAGCATTTCTAGGTGCCTCCTCATCATACAGGTGTGCTGGTAGTCTTTTTAACCACGAGTATGGAAGAGCTTACTTTGCAGAACTCAAAAAAACACAACTGACCCTGGCCTGCCCACCGTCTGAAATGCCACACCTACCGGGCTGCATCCACTTCTGAAATGTGACACTGGTATGGTTCCACTTTGGATACCCTCTCATGGCTGCAGCAGTTGCGATGCTTGGCTCTTGAGGCCGAGGGTGCGATTCAAAATCCGTATACTGTCATATACTGTCATGTGCAGGGATCCGAGGCTGTGGAAGTATTCATCTGTACTTAGACCTGGTAACCTGCCTGGAAATCATACCAGGAGTGTGTGGCCGTTGGGTGAGAGGCCCCCTTGTGCTGAGGGTCATGTGCTGCATCAAGAGCATGTGTGCCAGAGACCATCGTGTGTGGTGTTGTGTGTGCAGGAGAGTGAGTAAGGCCACTGCGGCCATGCAGGGCGGCCATGCAGGGGTGGGGTGGATATCACGACCGGTATGGTTCCACTTTTGAACACCGTGTCATGGCTCCAGTGGTTATGATGCTTGGCTCTTGAGGCCAAGGGCACCGGTACGAATCCGTGTGCTGTCATGTCGAGGGATCCAAGGCTGTGGAAGTCCTGATATGATGCATCCACTCCTATTGACGTACGCACTCCGTTTGCCGCAAATAATTTTTCATGGACGAAAACATTTTTGTTTATTTTGTGATAGCATCTTGGGGTACTCGGAGTTTTGCACCACACCCACTCCGTAACCCCTTTGGATCTGATAGGCCAATCGGCACCCCCCTTGAGCCCAATAGACCAACCCCCCCACTTTGGGGCACGTATAAGGTCGCAAGCTCGAACGAGCAGTGCTCAGTCGTGGTGGTTTAAACCACCTCTTTTCCCCCATCCGAATTTCTGCCCTGTGCCAAAACAAGAGCATGGAGGCTGAGGAGGGGGAAGGGGGGGAGGGGTTTTGCGAGTATTGGTCCGAGGGGTTTTGCGAGTTAGGTACTGGTACCGATTGAGTTGACTGCAAAGCATTTGAATTTTGAAACCATTGTGTCTGTCTAAAGGTACTCCACGTCTATAGGCTCCATCCCAATGTACATGAACTTGCTAGTATGATTGGCACCATTCGGACACTAGTTGGGACAAGTACAAATAACTGGTCTGAACTTAACCCCCTGTGTAGAGGTCTAGAGC